TAAAAACAAAAACACAAATACCCATTGCAAAAAATGGTGCCAACGATCCCTCCCACAACACTCTCTAGTCAATTGGGTTTGATAATCCATTGCAGTGGCCACACAGAATTCAGAATGTACACTCACAGTTGTATGGTTAGTTAGAGAAGTTAAGAGGTTAAAACTGAGGGTAAGAAATGTTCAGTGCAGGCCTGGAGGAAGGTAGAATCTCCAGTGAGTAGTATTCAATCTGTCTAGGCGGGGTTGATGCAATGAAATGCAGACGGGTCTCTTGTGATACAATAGTGAATAATTGTTATCAGGACTGACTGTGAGTGTTGGAAGTGTAAAGGTGGACGTTTTATAGCAAGGAGGGGAGTGATTAACTTTTCAGTCTAGGAGCGGAGGTCCCTAGGACCATCAAGGGAGAAGAGCAGAGAGCGGGACCCTACCCAGAGAAGCAGTGATGCCTGAAATGGAGCCAGAGATGATGACGTGGAGCGATGGAGCAGCTGGAGATTTTAGATCCAGAGAGGGAGAGCGACTGTGTGCTGAAGACCTGGGGGGTACAGGGGAAGGATTGCATGGAGGTGACTGTAACCATGGCAATGAGACTATATACGATAGGATGAATGTAAAACTAATGTTCTCCCATGTAAACTATCACATAATTCACAATAAAACATTTAAAAAAAGAAAGAAATGCTCAGTGCAGAGTTTTTCCAGTCAGCATAGCATCTTCTCAACTAGTGCCCACAGCTAGACCTCTCTCTGGCCGTTATCCCCTAGGCCTGGCCTCCGTCCTGCTTGGGCAGTGTTACAAAGCTCTTTTACTGTTAAGTGCAAGCGAGTCAGTTCTGACTCATAGCAACCCTGTATAGAGTTTCCGACTGATGAGCTTGAACTGTCAAACTTGCAGTTCAAATGGACATTGCAGTCCAATGCATTATCCTACAGCCCCCCCCCCCCCCAGGACTCCACAAAGCTCTTTTGTTGTTAAGTGAAATTATATCTCAAGTTTAACAAAATAACAAAGTGCCTGGCATGCAGTAACTAACAGCTTTTTTTTTTTTTACATGTAATTAATGCTAACAATAAGATTTTTTTTTAGTTTATCAAAATAAGATGGGAACACAGGTTCTTTAGATCTGTTGTTGTTGCTGGTGGTAGTGGTGTTGGTGATGTGCCATGGAGTCTGAATCGACTCATAGTGACCCTGCACAGGGTTTCCGAGGTTGCAAATCTTTACGGGGAGCAGAAAACCTCATCCTTCTCCTGCGGAACAGCTGGTAGTTTCGAACTTCTGACCTTAAGGTTCACAGCCCGATTCATAACCACTACGCCACCAGAGCTTATATCTGGTAGCATTTTATAATTTAAAAATCTCATTAAATCAGGATAATTTAATGCTGCTTGGGAACAAGTACATCTCTAATTTGCTAAGAAAAATGAAGTCAACACAAGTAATTAGCAATTTTCCAGATTAAATTACTATTTTAAGAGTAAGTCAAAAATTATTGCTACTGTGGTTCTAGTTCATACATGTACAGGTTTATTAGAACAAAATGTTTCAAACTGCCTCTGGTCGCTGGATGGCTGTGCACAAGTTCTCTCAGTAAATCACTTGTGTTCGTCTCATTAGAACGCCTGCAGAAAAAGGTGCAATCCAACACAATGGCTCCACAGGGGATCTGTTGGGCCAGCTAAATTTAAGGTAGAGAAGTCAATTCTAATTTTTGGGATTCCAAAGGTATAATCTTCAGAGATTTTACTGAAGGAGACAGGATGATCAAGGGGGCTTATTTGGAAGAAGTTTTAAGAAGATGTACAATTCCACTGGTGAGAAAAAAACTAGGAAAGTTGAGCCAAAGAATGTTTTTGCCATCAAACAAACCTGCTCATTTTTGGAGGGTAGCATGGGTTCTCCTATGAGAACTTCCATTATCCTTACACAGCCTTGGCCTTGCCCCTTAGACTTTTTGTTCTAAAAACTCAAGGAACATGATTTAAGTTCTTTGAGGATACAAAAACTGCTTTTTATTAGATCAAAAGTACGCATGGAAGGTTTGGTGGTATTGTTTTTAAGCACCATTGGGTGCATTCTGACTCACAGCAACCCTGTATAAGGTTTCCAAGAAGCATCTGGCGGGTTTGAAACGCTGGCCTAATGGCTCACAGTCCAGTGCTGATCCTACAGCAAGGATTAGAGAGATGAAAACACTGTCTTCAGAACTGTATAAACCTAGATGGAGAAACTGGTGTGGTGCTATAGTATCAGCACTGGACTACTTACTACAAGGCTGGCATTTCAGACCCACCAGTTGCTCATCAGCAACCTGATAATGGGTCGCTATGAGTCGTAACAAACTCGGCAGCACTTAACTACAAGAGATATGTTGATATGTCAAGAAAAAAATGGCTTCAAATTTTGGTATTTGTTTAATAAAGGTTTCTTTGATTTTGTACCAACACATCTTGACTTCTCCTAATGTTGTAAGGAATCTGTTTCTTACAAATTCAGTTCCTGCTCTAAATTAACTTAAGTAGCATATACTAATATCTAGCCATACAAATCTAATTCTATGCTGCTCTCCAGGCATAAACAGTAATTATTATGGCACTTTACCTGCACCTCAACATCTGCATCTCAGGTGCGCATATACACAGCTATTTCATTTCTCCTACTCGTCTATAGGGTCCTTAAGAAATTCACCTACATCTGAGCCAAGTCTGTATCAGATGTGTTACATAAATCAATAACTCAAATTACAAAATTAAACTATTATATGGACACACACTCCACTCTGTCTCTCTTTATATACAAGAAGGCTTCAAAAAGTCATGAAAAGATCATGGAACTTTTCTATGAATTATTTGAAACCTCCTCATATGTATTCAAATCATTTTCTTCCCTAACAAACTTGCACAATAACGCTTTGTGGTGAATATGAAAGGTTTTAGAATCAGAAAATTTGACAATTAGGGAGTTCTGTTGACTGCCATATATTGGATCATGCAGCTAATTGGTAATAATTGTTGTTGTTAAGTGCCAACAAGTCAGTCCTACCCAAGTTGTTGTTAAGTGCTGTCGAGTCAGTTCCGGCTCATAGGGATCCTATATAGGGTTTCCAAGGAGCAGCTGGTGAGACTGAACTGCCAACCACAGTTCAAACCTACCTTGCAGTCCAGTGCATAAAGTCACAGCACCACACCAGGACCCCGGAAATCTCTGGGGAGCAGGAAACCACATCTCTCTCCCATAGAACTGCTGATGAGCTCTAACCACCAACCTTGTGGGTCACAGTCCAGTTCTTATACAACAGAGCCACCACGCACCCCATTAGTAACAATGACGTACAAGAATACAGACTATCTCTAATTTCTAATACAATGCATTTTCTCTACCATATTATATACTTCTTCGAATTATAGATAAAAAACTGAGTCCAACACATAACCAAGTAAAGCAACTTTCTAGGCTCCATAGCTGTCTAAATGCCTATTCCAGCCTTGATTTTTCCCTCCTGACTCACACTGACATTTAAAACATCCCAGATTATTGCTCGAAAGTCTACATCAACCATGTTCAGGATCCTGTGTTGACGTCCACAGGAGAGAGGATCCACAACTACTCCATAAGTCCATACGTAGAAAATTACAACTCTAAAGCAATAAAAATTAGTTACAATGCAACATCTATGCCCCATTACAAAATGGTTCATGCTCATTGTGATCAAAGATTCTACAGAAAAATCCTAATCAAAAAGGAAAAAGTACACAATAGATCTTCAAATCCTCATGAAATACAGACTATTTGGAGCCATGTTGTTGTTGCTGTTAAGTGCTGTAGAGTCTGTTCTGACCCATAGTGATCCTGCATAGGGTTTCCAAGGAGCAGGTGGTGAGCTTGAACCACCAATATTTCAGTTCAAACTTACTTTGCAGTCCAGCATTTACCCACAATGCTACACCAGAACTCCTCTGGAGCCTTGGAGACCTGATAAAACCCTGAAACTATTCCCCTAAGTTAATCTTACACTACATACATCCCCTAACATTGTCTTATAGCCAACTAATAGTTTACCTAGCAAAGACAACCTTTGGCATTATGTTCTTTGAAACACTATGTCTATGGGATCAAACTGACAACGGCCAACTAGAAAGACGAGATAGGAACCTTAAAAGGCATTGAGTTTATGTCAATGGAGGAAGAACACAGAAAAAGAACATGAGAATGCTTGCACAACTCCAAGAATTTAATCCTATAACTGAATTGTACATGCAGAAACTGAAGTTGGTGTGTTTTTGTTGTGGATATTCTCAAAAGCAATTACAAAATAAATTTTATTAATAAAATGGTTTACATAGGTGGTGCACAAAAATTACAAACTAAATTCTAAATTCTGAATTATCTTTTTCAATGAAATGTGGACTCACAGTTCCCTATCATGGCATTAAAAGTAGACAGATTCTGGGAAGCCTTAATCAGAGTCAAGATAACATGGTGGAAAACAGACAAGGTACTAAAAATAGGAACAGGAGTTGAGTACCACAGAATTCTTCACCCTTCCCCCCATTTGGTGATGATTTTTTCCCAAACCTAAGTTTAGTCTCTACTGCACATTCCCTAGTAAACAGTCCTGTTTTGGTAAGCAATCCCAAGAGTTCATAACTACTTATTTTAATAAGAAAATATTTTTTTATATTCCATTAAGTGTTAACACTATATTAGGGTTCAGTGTATGATCATGAATAAGCTACATTTTCGGTATCTTAAAATGACATGTAGGTTTTAAGATTCGATTGGCAGTTTTCCATAATCCAATAGTTATTATCTCTCTGTTGTTGTTGTCAAATGCCACTGAGTCGGTTGCGACTCATAGAGACCCTGTATAGGGTTTCCAAGGAGCAGCTAGTGAGCTTGAACCGCCGACCTTACAGTTCAAACGACTTTGCAGTCTGGCACATTAACCCACAGCGCCACACCAGGACTCCTCTAACAGTGATAAAATATGACATACCTCCTGCTTCAACTGTTTCAGTATTTTTGTCTGACCTGGTCACCTCTGAAGATCCCAAACGGTTAAATGTCTGCTTCTCAAAGGAAAAACCTTCAAGATATTTGAAAAAGAAAAATCAGTTAATCTTTTAACAAACTAAGCCTGGCATGTTACTTATTTAAGTTGTTACATCATTACTAAAATAAACTTCAATGTTTTTGATGAAGAAAAAAGAAGAGTCTTAAACACATAAATGTAAACATTTGAAACAGACAACAATTCATTTAAGAAAAAATTATTAAAAATATGAAAATGCATTGATTCATTACCTGATGAATTTTTCAGTAAGCTTCCAGGGTGGCTCTCTATTTCTGACACTAAACGACCTAAAAATATGCAGACAGAAAAGATGGAGGAGTGGGGGAAAAGACAGTGTCATAAACCTTGCAGTCTAATCTTTTGGCAAACACAAACTGGTTTCACGTGACAAATAAACACAGAATCAAATTCAAGATAATCATGCCTGAGGACAATGAGACATTGTAAATTGCTGCCAATAATGTTCTCCTTCTTGGGAAGAAACTTAAAATGAGTGTTAGGCCCCAATACACCCAATTCTATGCTCAATAACACAAAGTAATATTAAAAGCAATCAACTTTCTCACTTCTAAAACGTGACAATTTGAAAAATTAACGAGGCTTTTTAAATGCATCAGGTTACCTATTATGTTATATGACAAAATATACTGCAGCAGGTTTATGAGGGTGAAAATACACAGTATTTATTATTCTTCATGAAGAATAAAAATATAGATACATAATATTAATATAGTAGTAATAATAATACATAAAGAATAATAGATACATAAACCATAAAGAATGATTCCTAGTCCACAAAGACAATTCTCTACATCCTACTTTGGTGAGTAACGCCTGGGATCTTAAAAGCTCAGGAGTGGCCATCTAAAATGCGGTCTCTCCATGTGCGGAAGTAAGAAGAGGTAAGAATGGAAGATGCTTGGAAATGATTAGTCCCCCATGCAAATAAACATATAAACATGTCACCACAACTTTGAGACTACCAACTGCTCTGAAAGGGATTACATCAGGCGGTCCTGGATACAGTGGAATAAAACTTAGAATTATTAAAAAAAAAGAAGACGCTAATTAGTCAAAAACAGACTGGAGGAATCTGAGACTATGGTCCTTGACCACCCTTCAGGTTTAGAAGGGAACTTACCCTCATGACCCAATTTTCAGCCACAGTATATAGGTATTTAGCAGGGAAACACTAGTGAAGCATACTCACCATGGAATGGTCAATCATTCGGCAAAGGGCAACATTTTCCTCAGGACACAGTTGAGAAGGGATGGGAAGGTGGGTGGAATGGAAATGAGCAACTGTTGTTGCATAGAGGGGATTGAGATGAAACAAGGTGTGTGATTGGTTGAATATAAAACTAATGACCTGTCTGTAAACCTTCACTCAAGTCACAATGAAATTTATTTTATTTTTAAAAGAATGATTCCTGTACAGTCTAATCTCTTGGCAAACAGAAACAGGTTTCACGTGACAAAAGTTGTCATACTTACTGTTAATGAGAAGTTCCAGAACACTCTCCGATGTGTTGTTAACAGATAATTCCAGACAATGTGCAAAACTGGACAATGCTTTGCTGCGGACAGTAGGGGCCTTGTCTAAACAACGGTCAAACATAATTTCCTGTACCAAGAACTTCTGCGTTAAAAACTTCTGTTGCTCCAATGAGAGAGAGTTATCTACCACTCTTTCCGGCAGTTCTAATAGAGCTAAAGTAACATCAAGGGTGAAAACCCTGTGTGGGATCTGGTAAAGCAAAATCATAGGAATTTTTATTAGTTCAGAATGAAAATCAAAGAAACTCAATTTATGTATTCAGATCTGACTGTCATTAGTAGTTTGCGGAGCCACGACTGAAGCTTCCATACAGCTATTTCTCCTACCTTGGAACTTCGTGAGTATCTGTAAAGCCAGGCAATGAATGTAGCATATTCCACAGAAGGAAGTTTACAAAGCAACTGAACCAGCGACTGGGCTGCGTACGTCCGGTACTCTGACTTATCTATCACCTGAAACACAAACAGGGAAGCTATTCAGCCAACATCCACCTAAAATACAACTGATGCACATGTCCTACCTAACCAAAGTTGAAAATTAGTGAGTGATCTTTGGATATAATATAAATGACTAACACATTTCAAATTTCAAATCCCTCTGAAAGCCTAAAATGTAAGATATCTATAAATCCTCTGCAGAAATATTAACATATAAACTTAGCGTAGCATTCCCAAGATCCATGTACTTTCAGAAAATTTGTCCAGACCATTTAAAAAATATAAGAGATAATTATGAAAATTCGAACATTGACTAACTACATGTTTTTATATTAAGAAGTTACTGTGGTTTTTAGATATGTTAATATTCTGAATATATTTTATTGCTTTTAGTTTAACTCAGAAACATAATGAAGTATTTATGAAATATAATTTTCAAAAACAGTATGTATATATACTGGGGGGAAAACTGACACAAAAATGGAGAAGTTGGGTGATGGTTATGTAATGGTTCATCCCCCTAGGTCTCTCTATATTTGTATATAATTGAAGTTTTCCAATGTACTATTTTTAAAGAACACTTTGTCTAGACAAACTACTGGTGAAAAAAAAAAAAAAAAAAAACACTTTTGGTAATGATATACTCTACTCATTCCTAAGAACACATACATACATACACACACATACACACTTTCGTACATATGTATATCAACATACACTTGCATTTATAGTATTATCAAGTCAAATAATACCTTGGCACAAATATGCTGGAGTAAGATACGAAGAACTGGGAATACGCTTTCTTTTAGTTCATCCACAAGCAAGCTATTTAAAAGAAAAACACATCATCTATTACAATATAACTATTACAACAAAATAATTTTCCTTTACTCTGTCCTCAAAAATTACTGCTCCCACGTTTTGTTGTTATTGTTAAGTGCCATCAAACTGGTTCTAACTCACAGTGACCCTGTATAGGATTTTTAAGGAGCGGCCAGTGAGTTTGAACCACCAACCGTGTGGTTCAAACCAACCTTGCAGTAGCACGTTTATCCTACAGCGCAACACTAGTAGTTCCCATTCTTTAGAATTCCTAAATATTAAAAACAATCTACCTCAACATTGTAAGACTCATTTTGCTACAAATAAAGAATTAAGATGCCAAGTGTCTGGCATATTGTGTTCCATGGCTGGACTATTGATTTTTAGTGATTTGGCAATGATGTGATGATACCCTATGATGTGATATGATTTGATGTGATAAACCAGTAAGAGTATTAAGCGTGGAATGTTGTTTTTGTTTCAGTGCCTTCAAGTCAGCTCTGACTCACAGAAAAACTGTATAGTGTTTCCAAGGAGTGGCTGGTGGGTTTTAAGCTGCCGACCTTATAGCTTGCAGTCTAGTGCTGATCCGCACCACCCTTAATACCACCAGGGCCTTGATTCTACGTAAGGAAAGTTCTCAGTGCTGTGGCATGCAAGACCATTTATCTTACAAGAGATAAAAGGAGAAGAGACATGAGCAGACAAAGAGAGATCTACCACCACCAAGAAAGAAGAGCCAGGAGTGGACCTCACCAACTAGAATACACAAAAATTATACTGACTACATCTGTAGAAAAGCTCCATATCATAATATCATCAGCCAAAACAAGGCCAGGGGCAGACTGTGGAACACACCATCAATTGCTCATATGCAAATTCAGGCTGAAGCTGAAGTAAATTAAAACAAGTCCATGAGAGCCAAAATGTGATCTTGAACACATCCCACCTAAATTCAGAGATCATCTGAAGAACAGACTCGATGCATTACTCACTAAAGTCCAGAAACTAAAGATCAGAAGAGTTGTGGAACGACACCAAGAACATCATACGGGAAGAAATAAAAGGTCATTAAGAAGAAAAAACCCAAAATGGATGTCAGAAGAAATTCTGAAACTTGTTCTCCAGTGTAGAGAGGCTAAAGCAAATGGAAAAAATGAGGAGGTACATTGCTAAGAACAGCTCGAGAAGACAAAGTCAAATATCATAACAAAATGTGCAAAGACCTGGAGTTAGAAAGCCAGAAGGGAAGAACAGAGTCAGTTTACCAAAAACAAATAGCTGATATTCAACCATTTCAAGAATCAGCATATGATGAAGAGCCAATGACAATGAAGGAAAAAGTTCAAGGTGCACTGAATGCACTGGTAAAAGAACAAGGCACCAGGAATTGACAGAATACAAATTAAATCTTTCAACAAACGGATGCAGCACTAGAGGCACTCGCTCATCTATGCCAAGAAGTTTGAGAGACAAGCTACCAGGCCAACTTACTGAAGAGATCCATACTTGTACCCATTCCAAAGGGAGGTGACCCAACAGAATGTGGAAATCAGACAATATCACATTAATAGTGCATGAAAGTAACATCTTGCCAAAGATAATACAAAAACAGCTGCAACCATACACTGACAGAGAACTGCCAGAGGCTCAAAACAGAGTCAGAAAAGGACGTGGAATGAGGGATATCATTGCTGACATCAGATGGATCTTGGCTGAAAGCAGAGAATACCAGAAAGATGTTTATGCTTTATTGACTATGCAAAAGCTTTTGACTGTGGATCATGACAAGTTAAGAACATTGTGACAAATGAGTGTTCCAAAACACTTAATTGTGCTCATGTGGAACCTGCACATAGACCAAGAGGCAGTTGTTCCAACAGAACAAAGGAACACTCATTTGTTAAAAATTAGGAAAAGTATGTGCCAAGGTTGTATTCTTTCACCAAACGTATTCAATCTGTACGCTTTACAAATAATCCGAGTAGCTGCATTATATGAATAAAAATTTGGTATCAGGATGGGAGGAAGACTCATTAACAACCTGCAATATGCTAGCTGAAAGCAAAGAGGACTTAAAATACTTGCTCATGAAGATCAAAGACCACAGACTTCAGTATGGGTTGTACCTCAATGTAAAGAAAACAAAAATCCTCACCACTGGACCAATAAGCAATATCCATATAAATGGAAAAAATATTGAAGTTGTCAAAGACTTCATTTTGCTCAGATAAGCCATCAACACTATGGAAACAGTAGTCACAAAATCAAATGACATATCGCATTAGACAAATCTGCTGCACATGATCTCTTTTAAGTGTTCAAGAGCTAAGATGTGCCTGACCAAAGTCATGATATTTCCAATAACCTCATATACATGTGAAAATTGGACTGTGAATAAGGAAGACTGTACAAGAATCGATGCATTTGAGTTATGGTGTTGGAGGAGAACATCAAAAGTACCAATCTGTGTTAGAAGACATGCAGCCAGAATGAATGCTCCTTGGAAGCCAGGATGGCCAGACTTCGTCACTCATACTTTGGACATTATTATCAGAAGGCACCAGTCCCTAGAGAAGAATATCATGTTTGGGAATATGGAGGGTCAGAGAAAAAGGGGAAGACCTCAACGAGACGCCTTGGCACAGTGGCAGCAATGATGGTCTCGAACATAACGATTGTGAGGTTGGCACAGGACCGGGCACTGTTTGTTCTGTTGTGCACAGCGTCGCTATGAGTCCATACCAATTCCATGGCAGCCAACAACACAGATGCTGAAAGGAGACAAGGACCTTTCCTTAAAGTTGGTACTCTGAATTCAGACCTCTAGCCTCCTAAATTGTAAGGAAATAGATTTCTGTTTTGTTAAAGTCATCCACTTGTTATTATCAGCTCTAGCCAACTACAGCAGTGTTGTAGCAGAAAAGATTTAAACACTTACTATCATGGTTTTCCAACACTCATCTGTTCTGTTTGTAGCACTGTGATGGATTGTATGTTGATGTGATACTGGAAGCTATGCCACCAGTAAAATTTTAAATATCAACAGGATTACCAATAATAGACAGGTTTCAACAGAGCTTCCAGGCGAACGACGACTACGAAATCAACGAGAGGCAGATCACTTCTCAAGGGTTAGCCAACGAAAATGTTAAGAATAGCAGAATACTGTTAGATACGGTGCCAGAAGATGAGCTCCTCGGGTTGGAGAGCATTCAAAATGTGATTAGGGAAGAAGTGTATCCTCAGAGTAGAACTGATATTAATGACACCAATGGAGCAAAGCTTTCAGGATCTTCATTTGCTGATGGGTTACCAATCAAAATGAGAAGAAACAGTGGCAGACATTCATTAAAAAGTGGAACGTGGATATACAAAGTATAGGAATAGAGACAAATTGGAAAATGCCAAAATAAAATAGAATACATAAAGATCAATATTCTAGCCATCATGGACTGAAACAGGCCATTATGAATTAGACAATTATAATGGTTTACTATGCTGGGAACAACAAACTTAAGAGAAATGGCCTCATTTTCATCATCAAAAAAGAATTTCAAAAATTGTGAAGCAAATAATGTCTATGATAGGATGATGTTCATATGCCTTACAAGGAAGATCAGTTAATATTAGTATTATTCAAATTTATGCATCAACGTCTAAAATCAGTGATAACAAAATTTTCAGAACTCTATCAACTTCTATAAGGAGCTCTGGTAGTGTAATGGTTACTAATCAGGCTGCAAGCCGCAAGGTCAGCAGTTCGAAACTACCAGCTGTTCTGCAGGAGAAAGATGAGGCTTTCTGCTCCCGTAAAGATTTCCAGCCTCGGAAACACTGTACAGAGTCGCTATGAGTCAGAACCGACTCCACGGCACATAACAACAACAATCAACTTCTATAGTTTCAAACTGATCAAACATGCAATCAAGATGCATTGATCATTATTGGCACAGAGATAAATACTATTTATTGTATACACAATCCTGCAATAACAGTAACATTTGAGTGCAGGTAGAGATAGACATGCAAGTGGAGATGTGAGATGGAGAATGGGTCTAAATATAAGTTTGATAAAGGGCATTCTTACATATATATTTACCTAGGCTGCAAATATGTTTCACGAATATAGTAGAGCATACAAGGTGAACATTATAAAAACTTCTTCAGCATAAATGAAGACACATGGAAACAAACACATCAATGGAATAATGGACCACAGACCATGTGACCTCATTTCCACAACCTGAAACCACTCTGGAAGTGGTCATATTACAAGATCCTGAAGAGAGTGAGAGAAATGTGCAAGTTATAAAAAAAAGACCAGGCCTACTAGTCAGATAAAGACAGGTAGAAATCTGAGACAATGGTCCTTAGTCACTCTTCAGGCCAAGAATTGAACTCACCCCCATGGCATAATTTTCAAACGACAGGTCTAGATGAATAGTAACGGATGTATGCACTCCCTAGAATAATTGACCATTTCAGATCAAGAGGGTAGGTTTTTTGTCAAGGAAAAAGTACTTAAGGCAGGAAGGATTAGGAAAGGAGGAGGATGGGAGAAACAAAATGCAGGGGAGACGTGGAATAAGTGATGCTACATTACTGGGATAACAGAATCACATGAAATAAAATGTGTATGCATCGAACAGAAAATGAGTTTGCTCTGTAAACCTTCACCTAATACACAATTAAAAAGTAAAAAAGGGAAAGAAAAAAAAAAAAACACAAACCAACCACTAATAGGCCAGAAATTCTACCTCCAGAGGTAAAATCTTGGTCAGCCCAGAGGACTGAGGGTGTATGATAAAAAGAGCAAAAATTCAAATGTGTGCTTCACCTGATAAACTGGATTGCTTGGTTTCTACTATTAATGACTTGTGAAGTAATTGTAAGGCTGGTGCGATGAGCTCCTTCTCCAGCTTCTAACATTAATATTACATTCAGCATTTGATGGAAAACACAACTGACAACCTATAAGAGAAAAAAAAAAAAATCAATTTGAGTACACCCAAGTGCCTCAAAGAAATAGAGATGATAGTAAATTATTCCTAGCCATCTGAAGAGTAAGCAGTTAACAGCTTCTGCCTGAACAGTAGGAATATGTTTCTTGGGTAATTATCAGGTATTCAATAAATGCACATTTCAAACAGTGTAAAAAACGCATGTGTACACATTATGTTCTTTTAAAAATGCCTTTTTTATATGGGATCAAATTGATAGCAGTACCTTAAAATATAGGAACTTGTACAGGGCAGAAAGTTTATGTTAGTGGGAGAGGAACAGCTTACAAAAGGAGGATGTGAATGTTTCTACAAATCAAAGAATGTAATCATTGTCAACTGAAATAAATACACTTGTAAAATTGTTAACTGGTGTGTGTTTTCCTATTTACATATACAACAATAGTTAAAATAATTTTATTTTTTTTTAAAAAAGGGAATGGAAACTAAAGACATTAATGAGAATTCTATCACATCCATATTTTCAACACAAAGGAATGATATAATATTTCATAGTATATGGCATTTTCTGGTTTTTGTTTTTGGTGTTTTTACACAAAAGACACTATTCTCAGCATTTGACTTGCTGAGTCTTTCAAAAAAGCTACGAGGAAGGTTCGACATTTGTATTTTTGTCAAGGTGAGATAACTGAGGCTTTATCAAGGCTAAATAATGCACACAAGAATGAGCAGTCCTTTGGTTGTTTAAATTATTATAAATTCCTGAGTGTTTTTGTGTACATCAAAAAAGGGGGTTGTAATCATAACAGTGAAACAAGACACAACTGGTTGAGTCTGTCACATAGACTATCACTCAATTCACAATAAAAGTTTTTAAAAAATTAAAAAGATAATAATGAAAATCTAAAATTTTAAAAATATGACTTAACTCAAAATTGATTTACTCTGGAAATGCTGAATCAGAATCCAGTCATAAATCAGAGATTATGCATGATAAAAAAGGCACTAAGGGCTGAGGGTAAAACAATCATGAATTTGCAGAAGCATTTTTCCATGAGGTTATATAATTTTCCCTAGAATTCAGAGGCCTTAAATGTGTGTTTAACGTAGGACTCTGCAACAAGCAAGAGGGAAGAGCATGGGCGGGGCGTGGGATACTAACCAGAGAGACAGCTACACCAGAGTCGGAGGCAGAGACAGTGACATGGAGAGAGAGCATCTGAGGACTCTAGACTCAGGGAAGCGAAAAGGCTATGTGCTGATGGGCACGGGGCTGGTTTGCAAAATGTACCCCCTTTGGTTGTTTAAATGATTGTATATTACTATGCCATGTAGACTATCACTCAATTCACAATAAAAGGTTTAAAAAATAAATAAATGTGTATTTAAAATGTGTTTGAATTTAATACATATAGAATTTAATAAAAATGTGTTGTCAATCAAAAAAGAATAATAAACAGCTAGTATGTAGGTGAGCCTTAATTAAGAAAAGACCAAAATGGATGTCAGAAGAGACTCTGAAACTTGCTCTTGAGCATAGAGAAGATAATGCAACTGTAAGTAATTAGGAATAAAACCGCTGAACAGACTATTTGAAAGGGCAGCTTGTGAAGACAAAGTATTACAATGAAATGTGCAAAGACCTGGAATTAGAAAAACGAAAGAGAAAAACATGTTCAGCATTTTTTAAGTTGAAAGAACTGAATAAACAAGGCTTGACCTGAAATATTGAAGAATTCTATGTGTAAAATATTGAACAATGCCAGAAACATCAAAAGAAAATGGAAGGAATACACAGACAGTCACTCCACAAAAAGAACTGGTCAATGCTCAACCATGTAGAGAGGTACCATATAACCAAGAACACATGGTATTTAAGGAATATGTCTAAGCTGCACAGAAGAAACTAATGAAAAACTAGGCTCCAGGAATTGACTAAATAAATATAAACTAAAATCTTTCAACAAAAACTCATGCAGTGAATGATTACATATTCCTGAGTGTTTTAGTGTATGTCAAAACAAAACAAAAAAAAACAGTTGGAACATAAGCAAATGCTGTTGACTGATTATGTATGGAGGGGATTGTAATCACTGCAATAAAAATGAAATGCGATTAGAATCAGTGTAAAACTGTTGTTCTCCCATGTAAACTATCACTCAATTCACAATAAAAACTTGGAGGGAAAACAAAAAAAGAAGACAATAGCTAGAAAAGTCTGGTGGTGAGCTGGGGTGCCTTGAATTTACTTGATAAGGCTTGTATATCCAAAGTGTTCTTAAATCCACCAAGTGATTGGGTGGGACCATGCAAATTAGGTATACAGGACTCTGGCTGGGCTTGGTTAGTTTTGCCTCTGGCTAGGTTTAAAAGGAGCCATCTCAGAAGCAGAGATGGAAAACCCCAGAACCATCAAGAAGGAAGAGCATGAGTGACTTGTGAGATACCTGGAGAAACAACCATGGCAGAGGCCATAGTAAAAGTGGTAGCATGGAGTTAGAAAGCACCTTTGGGCTCTAGGCCTAAGAACTGATTAAGGTCGAGTGTCTACAGGCAGGAGACTGACTTGAGGAATGTGCCCTTTGGGTATTCACAGACTGGTTAAAAGAACTTTGTAACACACAGAGGTCAAGGGACCACAAGGCAGAGGCTGTAAATAAGACTGAAGCATGCCTGCAGTATGGCAGACAAGAGGCGTTCCAGACTGGAGAACTGCTGCAGCCTGAGTTGGTTTTGATTTGATCCTGAATTGTACCCTGTTCAGTTCACTAAAAAACCCCATAATCTGAAAAAAAAAAGACACCAAAAAACAAACAAAAAAACTCTCATACAGTGCTGGAGATGCTCACTCTTCTATGTTAAGAAATTTAGAAGAAAGCTACCTGGTGAACGGATAGGAAGACATCCATATTTGTGCCCATTCCAAAGAAAGGTGACTCAACAGAATGTGGGAAATCATCTAACAATATTCTTAGTATCACATGCAAGTAAAATTTTACTGAAGGTAATTAAAAAATTATTATAGCGGTACACATCAATAGGGAGCTGCCAGAATTTCAAGCCAGATAAACTCTAGGGTGTAGAGTGTGGAATATCATTGTTGATGTCAGATGGATCTTGGATGAGAGAATACCAAAAAGATGTTTACTTGTGCTTTATTGACTATGCAAATTTTTTTGACTGTTATCCATAACAAACTATGGGTAACATTGTGCAGAATGGGTATTCCAGAATACTTAATTGTGCTCATGAGGAACCTGTACATAAACCAAGAGGCAGTCCTCAGAACAGAACAAGGGGACACTGAATGGTTTAAAATTCAGGAAAGGTGTGCTTCAGAGTTGTATTCTTTCATCATATTTATTCAAACTGAATGTTGAGCAAACAATCTAAGAAGCTAAATTACATGAAGAACAACATAGGATCAGGATTGGAGTAAGACTCATTAAAAACCAGCAATATGCAGATGATACAACTTTGATTGCTAGAATTAAAAAGGACTTAAAATACTTATTAATGAAGATCAAAGACTATAGCATTCAGTATAGATTATACTTAAAAGAAAAATCCCCACACACTGCATTTTTAAGTAAAATCATGATAAAACGAGAAAAGAAAGACTTCATTTTCCTGGATCCATAATCAACGCCCATGGAAGCAGCCATCAAGAAATCAAATGATATATTGCATTAAGCAAAAGCAGAAAAATATCACTTTGAGGACTAAGGTACACCTGACCCAATCCTAGTATTTTCAATTGCCTCATATGCATATGGAAGCTGAACAGTGAAAGAGGAATTTGTTGAATTACGGTGTTGGAGCCACAAGAACAAACAAATCTTCTTGAAATAGGTACAGCCGTAATGCTCCTTACAAGCCATAATGGTGGAACTTTGTGTCTCAATTCTTTGGACATGTAATCAGGAGGAATCAGACCTTGGAGAAGGATAACATACTTAGTAAAGTGCAGGGTCAGCAAATGAAAGGTGCCCAATGAGAGACATGGTGGCAGCAACAATGGGCTCAAAAATATGAAATGACACAGTACCAGGCAGTGTTTCATTCCATTTTGCATATGGTTGCTGTGAATCAGAACTGACTCCACAGCACCTAACAACAAGAAGTAATGGAGACAGAATTTGAACCCAAATATTCTACCACTATCTTCTTAACCACTACACATTCTTGCCCCTACAAGTTAACTGTACCACTGCTGCTGTTAAGTGCCATCAAATCATATCCATCCTATACAGGGTTTCCTAGGAGCCACTTGTGGGTTAGAACCACTGAGCCTGTGGTCAGCAGTCCAGTTTTATCCTACAGTGCTATACCAAATACCTCCCAAATCCCTCTGACAACGAATAGTAGGAGATAAATAGAAATAGTGATACTCTGTATAACATAATGAAAACATCATTAAATCAAATGTTTTTCAAAGTTTTCCACTATGTGGTCATATGATTTTGATTCAGCTAATCACTGTATTTGACCCTTGTTCTCTCCTTACCTTATCACCTTCTCCATGGACTGGGGAGCACAGCAGATACAGTCCATGATAGGCCAGTTCGGGCAAATATTTCGCTTCATTAAGGTTTCTAAAGAAAGACAAAAGACTGCTAAACAACAGATAAACCTTACCTTGGAGTATTTCTTATCCCTAATAAGCCATATTTAAATGAATAATTTCTACCTTTGTGACAACTAGGATAAAACAGCATTGACAGACCCACCAGAGCAAAAACGATTGTACTATATTACATTTTAGCACTGCAAGACTTAATAGCTCACCTGGCTTGTGAAACATGAAGTTCATCAAGAACTTGCTCAAAATTAGTTAATGCAACAAAGATCTGGAAAACAAAACAAAGACTGGATTTTTACTGTTCACTGCTATAGACGTCAAGTCGTACTTGCTATATTTGATGTCCAGGTCCATGGAATTTTCACTTACCTCTATACAATTCTGCACACATTGTGGCTTTTCCTTCAAGGAAAATTTGGGCAGAAGTCTTAAAAAGTTCTTCATAAGGTGGAAGATGGCATTTCGAATATGAGAAAGGTCCCGGGCAGAAAAACAAATATTTTCTTCATCCTCTTGTTCTTGTAAAATTATATCCATCTAGGTTATAAAGAAATGTATACATTACTTTTTAACAATGCCTAACCATTTGTGTCTCATGGTTTTCATCGAATCCTAATCAAGTCCAGTTGAACCCTGGAGAGGAGCTGAAGCACTGACCTGATCTAACATTGACCAAGTTAAGTAACTACTCCAGGTTTCCACAACCACACTATACATCAATGGACTAAATGATAGTTAAAATTGTTTCCTGCCCTTATCATCCTGTGTCTATGAAAACATCATTGTTTCTTAGAAATTCTGAAGCCAATAGAACCACTACCTCCCTATTTACTCACATGAGACTTTGGAATTAATTTCATTCTACTATGCTCTTTTGGGATCCTGCTGTGGCAAAGTAGCATAAGCACTGGACTGCTAACTGCAAGGCGACAGTTCACCACTCCTCAGAAACCCTGCAAAAGGTTGAGTTGGAACTGACTCAACAGCACATAGCAATAACATTACGCTCTTATATAAGTGAACCATCAATGTTTCAACCACTCTCTCTAATGATATGATCATGTACCAAATATATCAGTTAGCATGTTGCCAAGTACCCCTGGGACACAAAGCTAAAGAAAGAGGATTAGTAATTTAGATGATGACCAAGTGAAAATGTACTATCACTATTTTATCAAGCCCAAGAGGTAACTTATAGGCCCTTCTAGTACCAATTATATTGTCTAAAACAATATTTAAATGTAAGATCAATCCTTAAATATGTCAATCATGGGCAGGTAGAGGATATGTTTTATTATTCCACTTACATCTTACCTCAATATCTTCTCTTCTGAATGGCTTTCCTCTTTTTCTATTCCCTCTTGGATTACCCTGCGAGTTCTTAGGCTGTTCTTTCTTTCTTTTCCGATTCAAGTTAGATTCCTGCGGCCAGCTCTTCTTAAGAATTTGAATACATTTGTCAAACATGACTGGATGAAACACTTGATTGGCTACACTACCTATTCATAAAGAACAGAAATAGGTTAAATTTGACTCTCTTGAAATAAGTCTATAAAAAGAGAAAAAGTTAAAAAGCAAAATCAGGATTTTCATGAATCTTTACCAATAGATAGCTTTTAAGATGACCAAAACTGCTGAATTAAAAATAAATAACAGTATTTCAATATCTAGCAATAATGGATAACTGGTTTGATACCTGCCGGCCTGTCACAAACAAGGCTAAAACCAGATTAAAGTTTTAAGACATGAATCAACAAGCATTACAGAGATGTAACACCTGATAGGAAACAAAAGAGGTAAATGTAAAGAAAGTTTTAACTACCCACGTTTTGTGTACAGAGGCAATTTCAAGACAACAGGAGAGGGATGGCAAACCAAAGCAAATCAATACTGGTCTTACTAAGTTGATAATACAGAAATCAGAGTTCAGGAAAGCAGGACTTTCTGAAATTTATGGGGGAAGAGTACTAAATAGTAACCCACACAGAAAAAGAGCTCGAGAAATCTGCATAGGGCCAGGTAAACACAAAATTTTTTTTAAGTTTGTGGAAATTTTTCATTATCCTTTAATCACACGATTGATTGTAAAACCTTTTTGAAGCTCTTTGAAATCCAATGAAGCCTAGAAGCGTGGAGTCTCTGAGTATTTAAGTGACTACTAGCTGAAAAGCTGGCAATTTCAACCCTCTCAGAGGTACTCTGGAAGAATGAGGCCTGGTGAATTGATTTGAAAGGTCACAGTCTTGAAACTCTAGAGCAATACTGTTGTTGGGCGCCATCGAGTTGGTACCAATTCATAGTGACCCTATGTACAACAGAACGAAACACTGCCCAGTCCAGGGCCAACTTCACAATTATTGCCACACTTGAGCCCATTGAGGCTGCCACATTGTCAATCCATCTCGCTGAGGGTCTTCCTCTTTTTCTCTGATCCTCTACCTTACCAAACATGATATCCTTCTCCAGCGACCAGTCCCTCCTGATAGTATGTCCAAAGTATGAGAGATTAAGTTTGGCCATCCTGGCCTCCAAGAAGCACTCTGGCGGCACTTCCTCCAACACAGATCTGTTTGTTCTTTTGACAGCCCATAGCACTTTCAATATTCTCCTCTAACACCATAACTTAAAAGCATCAATTCTTCTACCGTCTTCCTTATTCACTGTCCAGCTTTCACATGCATATGAGGTTACTGAAAATACTATAGCCTGGGTCAGACGCACCTTAGTCCTAAAGCTGACATCTTTGCTCTTCAACACTTTAAAAAGGTCTTGTGCAGCACATTTGCCTAATGCAATACGTCGTTTGATTTCTTGACTGCTGCTTCCATGAATGTTGATGGTTGGTCCAAGAAGAATGAAGTCGTTGACAACTTCAATCTTTTCTCTGTTGATAAGAATGCTAATGTTTATTGGTCCAGTGGTGAAGATTTTTGTTTTCTTTACATTGAGATGCAATCAGGGAACCAAAATGTCTCCTATAACCAACCAATAAAACACAAAAGGAAGCAGCAGTAACAGGCAAAGACAAAGAAAGATTAAAACAAACAAAAAATTAGAGTGAATGTAAACGGGCTAAACACTCCAATCAAAAGGCAGAGTGGCAGAAAGAATAAAAGACAACATGATCCAACTCATATGTAAGACACCTGTGACCCAAGGAAACGAACAGGTTGAAAGTAAAAAGATGGAAATAACATACAGCAACAAACCAAATAATCAAGACGAAATAAGCAAACTCTCAGAAGAGCACAACCTACACACACCAACTGTCTCAAAAGGAAACATAGTCTCAACAGACCCACAATAAGAGAAGAGATTAGATCAGTGATCAAAAACCTCCTACTGGTCTGCCCCCTGCCAAAAAACAAACAAACCTGTACCAGATAGCTAAGGAATGCTATCAAACACTTAGAAAGGAACTGACACCAATCCTGTTTTAGTATTTCCAAATGATCAAGAAGTAAAGAATATTTCCTAATTTATTCTATGAAACAAAAATAACCCTGCTACAGGTTTCCCCTGCAACCTGATAGTGTCCTTTGGAGTAATGTGAACAAGTTGTTGTTGTTGTTGTTGTTAAGTGCCGTCGAGTCGGTTCCGACCCATAGCGACCCTGTACAGGGTTTCTGAGGGTGTAAATCTTTACGGGAGCAAAAAGCCTCATCTTTCTCTCGCAGAGCGACTGGTAGTTCTGAACCGCTGACCTTCAGGTTCACAGCCCAATTCGTAACCACTACGCTACCAGAGCTCCTTATGTGAACAAGTAATTACTATTAATTTATATACAGAGAATTTTTAAACATTCTCACATCCAAAAAGTAATCTACCAAATCATACCAAACATTTTAAACCAAAAAGAACACTAACATACAGTGTTTAAAAGGAGTCCTGGTGTGGTGCTGGGGGTTAACACACTTGACTGCAAAGTTAGCTTGAACTGCAAGGTCAGCAGTTCTAGCTCACTAGCCACGCCCAGGAAACCTTATACAGGGTCACTATGGGTCGGAACCAACTTGACGGCATTTAACAACGACAGAGTGCTAAAAAGTTTAGTTAATGCTAAGATGCTGACTAGTTCCTGGGAAGAAGTTGGGTGACACTCTTGCTGCTCAGGGTGCATGCTTCCTCTTAAACAGATCAATGCAAAACAAACACTGAACACTAGGTTTCACTTTTTGCCTTTTGCTGTAAAAGTTCTTTTCAGATTTATTTGTATTAGTAAAAATAGGTACTAATATAGGTACTTCCTAAAAGCAAAGTAGTGTAAAGCAAACTTTCAAAAAGCTCAGGATACCTGAACCAAAACTAGACAAAGACACCACATGAAAAGAAAGCTACAATCTAACATCCCTTATAAATGCTGATGGAAAAAAACCCAAAAAACTAGAAAATATTAGTGAAATGAATCTAACATATTAAAAGTGTTGTTGTTAGGTGCCATAGAATTGGTACCGACCCATAGTGACCTTATTAAAAGTATAGTACCTGGAATTTACTTGATATGGCTTTTCTATCCAAGGACTTTAATTTCCACCAAGTTACTGAACGGGTCCATGCAAATACTTGTATAAAACTCTAAGGCTGACATTGGTTAGGTTTACCATCCTACTAGGTTTACAAGGAGGAATGGATGATATCAAGAAGAAAAAGTATGAGTGGAGCACAAGATCCCTACCTATAAAAGTGGTGACAGCAGAGGTGCTGGCATTGAGAGACAGACCAGTTCCAGGGTGTAGGCCTATGGACCTAGTAAAGCTGAACTCCTACGGACAGGAGATGGCTTGCAAAACACACCCTTTGTGCAATTCACAGACTGGCAAAAAGAGCTTATAAACACTTGCCAGAGCAGGGCAGAAGCCAAGGGACAGGACACTTGGGTCAGAGACTGAAGACAAGAGTGTGGTGTGCTTGCAGTACAGCAGAGAAGAGGCATTCCTACTAAATTCTCAGTTTTTCTGATCCTAAATTGTACCATGTTCATTTCCCACAACTGTGAGTATTGTTATGAGTTCTGTGTGGCCATTGCAATGGATTGTCGAACAATGCTGTAGGAAGGATGACTGGTGTCAGAATAGGGTAAAGAAAGTTGCATGCTTGACCTCCACTTCAGAGGAATCAGCCTGGGGCTGATTTTGTGTTTCTTTCTCCCACTTGTGAAGAGGAAGTCAGACATGGCCCCACACGGCTTTGAAAAATAGTCACTGACCATGACCAAATGGGATTAATCCCAGAAAATGAAGGGACAGTTCAAAATTATAAAATTAGCCGCCATTATACACCACCTCAACAGAACAAAGGATAAGAGCATGATCATTTCTCTGTCACAGGGTAGACACACTTTCTCAATGAAAACCATCAATAAAATTAGAACCTCAGCAGGTGAGGTCAACCAATCAGATTAATGAAGCTAAGCAAAAGAGAAGAAGACCTGAAGCAAGGGATGTTCCAGACTTGGACATGTGCAGTCTATGAGAACAGAACAGTGACTGAATGTTGCCCCTTACCTTACTGTAATACTAAATCACACACCCGCGGGGTCATAACAGATTCGACCAAGACTAAATTAGGACAAGAAAGGGTTGGCACCAGCAACAACAATGAAGTGCAAAAACGCAGAGGACAATAAATGCTGGCAAGGATGTGGAGAAACTGTGACCCTCCCACATTGCTGTTGGGAATGCAAAATGGTCCAACCACTCTGGAAAACAGTATGGCACTTCCTCAGAAAGTTGGAAACACAAATACCTTATGATCCAGCAATGCCTCTACTTGGTATATATCCACAAGAAATACAAGCCATAATAAGAGTAGATATGTGCACATCAATGTTCATAGCAGCACTATTCACAACAGCAAAAAGATGGAGACAGCCTAACTGCCCATCAATGGGGGAACAGATAAACAAACTGTGGTACATACACACAATGGAATATTATGCTACCTTGAAGAATAACAAGAAAGCTGTAAGCCACTACATAGCACGGATGAGCCTTGAGGACATTATGCTGAGTGAAATCAGTCAGTCACAAAAGGACATATATTGCATGAGACCATTACTGTAAAAGCTTAAGAAAAGATACTCATACTATAAAGGGGTGGGGGGGTGGATTTTCTTTGTTAGTTACCGGTGGAGGTAGGGTGGGGGGGTTTGGGGGCAGCGACTGTAGAGCACAGGGTAGAGAGCAGACACATCATAGTTCAGGTATTGGAGAGGGCAATACACAAGAAGGGAGAGGGGGTGGAAGAACACGGTACATAGGGGAACAATGACATAGGTTTGCAAGGGCTAAATGGGACAGAGGTAAATAGTGATGCATGTTCAACCTTGGAAACAGGCCTCTGCGGTACTGGGATCAAGGCATAGTCTAAAGAGGAGTAATAATACTAAGATGTATGACTGTCTTATGAATATTAGTTTCCCTTACCTTCTATCGTAAAATAGATACTTACGTGGGATAGAAAGGAATGTCGGGAAACGTGATTATAGAAAACTTGTAAG